ATAGACTCTGTCTTTGTTTGAAGACCCAGAAGTGCTTGACGATGAATATAAGGTCCCAGGTTTTGCACTCGTCTCCTCATTACTGAGGCAGGGTTAGGAATGCATTAAACTCTGAAGCTGGTGAGGTTTAGGATGACACATACTTTTCTGATTAGAACAAGAACACTGGACAAAAGAAAGAGAGCTTAATACAGTGGCTTTCTTCAATTGCAAAGCAAGAAGGTGGAAGCAGTGTTCTCTAATTCATATCAGCTATGCTATTTATAGCCTTTTTTTTTTTAAGGTGTTATAATAGTCTAAAACATTTCATACCATCCATTAGGTGCCTGAGGAATCAGTTTTCTTTCCTCACTTTGTCTTTTACTTGACAAAAGAAAAGCATTTTCTATGAAAATGCATCACAAATGCACAACAAATGACAGAGGACTGACAGCTAAAACAATGGTTACATTGTAAATTGTTTTACAACAATTACATCCTCTGAACATCTTGTTGTATCTCTTCAGCAGCTCCTGCTGCTGAAGTGTCTATTTTAGGTTATGTTGCTAAATTAGCTTCCACACTCAACTTTTATCTAGTTCATCTTCTTATTCCCTACCTATATTTTACCAGCCGATTCCTTTCCTTGATCATTCACACCCTTATGTACACTTGGATCTGTTCTTATAGGCCAGGGAAGCAGTTTTTAAGATAGTCTCCATTTTACTTATTAGACCACATACACACAAGTTCTTTTGATATTTCTTCATCCTTGTTTTCCTCAAGTCCAATTCATTTTTTATTGAGGTAACTGTATTGATTTCAAAGTAACAGAATAGAAAGTCAGGCCAGTTGTACATTCACTTGTAATGTTTTACTTAAAAATCAAATAACCATGGCATGCTTTCCTCACTGCTGTTCAGCACTTGCCTCCTCCTCCTCCTCCCCCAGAACAGAAGTCACCCTTCAGTTCCTGACATGTGTCGGCCTCCTGGTCTTCACTCATAGACAGGGTGCACTGCGTATGTTCCACATTAGACTGCCACAAATCCTTCAGGACTCATTTATCACAAACAGCTCCGCTCTTCATTTCATGCTCTCCCTCACCCATCTGAGCTGGAGCATGTTATTGCCAAAGCTTTTGCACTACAAGAGGAGCCCCAGGTTTGGCAACCGTCTGTCCACTGCTAGGCCAACTTCAAAAGATGTCATTTGTTATTAATATATCTCCCTGCTACTCATTGCAACAGCTTGCCTGGCAGTGCTGACTCCTGCTCAGATCAAGTGTCTTTTCATACCTGCCATGTCATCCTATCTTGTTGGCTTCTCTCCAACACCTACTCTCCTCCCCAGCTTATCTGGCCATCTAGGTCTAAGCCAGCTCCGCTTTCTCAGAGGTGGAAGCAATCAAGCAACAGCACATTTCACATCAGCAATGGCCTTTTCCTCCATGTAAATAAAGCCTTTTCCACATACCTTAAATTAGAAATTATTAATAACCAGAAATCAATAGGATTGGAAAAAAAGACAGTCAAATGAGAATACAATCTTACCAACTTTCCCCATTCTCTTTCGTTCCTTTCTTTAGTGGGTTATCAAAGGTCGATAGCTAGACTCTCGCTGGTAGAAGTGATTCCTGTTTCTTTTGTTTTCTTGTAGTAAAACAGTCTTTGGAAAAGAAAATGAAAAAAACATGAAGGATAAACACAACAGAGCTTCTTTCCATAAGCTGTGTTACAAGGTTATGTCTGTACTTCAGCCTTAAGGCCTTGAGTGCAGCTCATAAACTAGTATCAGCAGATATATTGATAACCATATGGTGCTCAGACAGGTAGCTGCACAAATATTTACTCAGGGCTTGGCTGGATTTTGCCAACCAGAGCGTGTTCAGTAGCCTTGTTGCTATCAGGATCTGAGCCAGCTGGTTTAGAGCTACCTGGACTGTGTCCACACCAGCTTCATGACTCTGGACTCAAGCGTAGATACATTCTGTATTAATTCACTTAAGGATAAGAATCTTCTACTTCTGGTCTTGCTCAGGGCACGGTCTGGGCACGTTCTTGCCAGTTCAAACAGTTGTTACCTCATCTGGCTTTGGTACTGATGAAAGATACTCTGACAGCAAATTCACAGTGACAAGTAGCTGGTCATCAAAGGCTCCCTCAGGACTCAGTGCAGAGCAGTTCAGAGGAGCCGAGTGGAGGAAAAGTTCAGAGATGGGAAAGAGGAGCTCTCCTGTCTGTGCTGCTGCATGGGCCATCCCGCTCTCCACCTTGGTCTGGTCCCATGCTCAGCCACCACTTCCCTTGCTATGGCTCTGGCCCCTCAGCTGCCCCCTTGGCTTGCTGATTCACCTCATTATACCAGGAGATAATTAATGCAAGGAGGGGGCAGGGCAGGGGGGGGATGAAGCCAAAAGGGATTATTTTCTACTTCTTAGAGAGCTGAACTGGTTCACTGCAGGGTCAGGCGAGTGCCAGAGCCTGTGCAGGAGAAGGGAGGAACCGCAGGACCACACATCCAGCAGTTAGGATGGAGGGGGAACTGCCCCTTCCCAGCACCAATAAGCTGTCCGTCTGGTGAGCCATCTCATGGCATTTCACCCTTAAACATTCAGGTGCATGCTGTAGAGAAGCCTGTCTTTCTCCATCAGCTGCAGATCAGCCTCATTAAAGCTGGAGATATCCTTGTGCCTCTCACACCAAGTTGCCTAGTCCTGAACATTGATTCTGTCACTTCCCAAAGGAGACAGGGGACCTTCTGCCCACCCAGCAAGACATCATCAGCATTCACCACAACTACCTTTGCTCATGGAAATACTTGTTCAGTCCCCTTTCTTGTGCTCCCAGATTTCTTTCCCTTATCCCTTTTCTTCTCACGTATCTTCAGCTAGAAAACTTATTTCTAAATGAAAGAGCCCTTCCCCAGCTTCCCCTGGTCAGCATTTAGTTAGGAAATCTAGTAGGTTGTCCTCTGTGCGTAATGCAGTGTCTCTTCAGACTGTGCTACAGCAGTATAGAAAGACATGGAAGAATCATGTTGGCTCTAGCTGGCTCATCTCTTCCATAGCAGCCCTGCTACCAGTACCTCTAGGCAGTAGTGCTCTGATAGGAACTTCTCAGAAAAGCAGTCCCTTGAGCATTACTGTAGTGAAGCAAAAGCTGAATAGGAAACTGCCGGAGGGAAGGGGATCTTGTTTCTAGATCTCAATCTGGGAAGCAGGCCTCATGGGTCCTCCTCTGGTTTCCAAATGAGCCCTGAGAAAGCAGCATCATATCTGGCTATTCTAAGGTTCATTTAACATCAGGAAGGCAGACAACAGTGAAATCCAGGTGAAATACGAATAAATAGTGTAATGTTAGTTGTGTCATACTTAAAAATAGGTGCTGGTGAAGGTGAAGATTGGAAACACTTGACTTCTATGGAAACTGAAACATGAGTGAAGGTAACATCTCAGGGTGAAAGGCAACATATATTCAGGAAGAGAGCATGTTCCAGCCACCTTTCAAAAGCATGCTGCTCTTCTTATTTCCCCCTGAATATTTTCTCAGTGGTGGCCTTGACCAATTCCTTCTGCATAGTGCAAGTCACATATTGCAGATGCAGGGAAGGCAGTAAATTGCTTTCCTGAACAGGGGAAGGCCTCCGCGCTTACTTTGGATAGTGTGCAATCCCGCTGTGTACTTTCTGAAACCAAACTTGCTTGGCACTTGTTAGTGATTTTTGAAACCTGGTCGAAGCATGGAAAACCATTTAATAAGAGATCTTAAAAATAAGCTGTCCAAACCTTTAATAGAAGCCTTTTTGTCTTTGCAGGAGACCTGTGGAATTAGGACTTGGAGCACACTAGAAAATACATCACACCAGAGCAAGGAGAATGCATTACTAAATTAGTCTGAGATGTGCTGATTAAGGACAATTTCTATACATTCTGAAGGTGGAAGGCCACAGCAGAATTGTATAGGTCTTTTTCATGCAGACCAACAGTCCTAGGCTTTTGTTCACATACGCTGCCACCTATATGTCAGACAGTCACTAATTTTGAAGAGTAAAGCACACCATATTATCATATTTTCTCCTCCTTTCCATTCTTAAATTTGACATATACTATCAGACAACATCATTAGTACTTCCCATGTACGTGTAAAATATTTTGTTCTAGAACTGAAAAAAACCCTAAAGCTAATTTACAAGTTAATTTTTAAACTATATTTTTCTCTACACTTATAAGGTAGTAATAGCTTATAAAACACTGGGAACATCTTAACTTTATCAACCATTACAAACTAAAAATGCAAAGTTTCAGACCACCCACACAGATGGTATTTTTCATGCTTCTGTATTTGCATACGAGAAAGACTTTCATTTTTCTCTCTCAAAGTACACATGTAAAATCAATCACAAAGCAGAAATTACTGTAAGACTTTAAACTGGCTTAGAAGCTCTTCTTGCCAAGGTTATCAAATCCTGGGAAACTTGGGGAGCTATGATTTTTATTACAGTGTTTGGGGGGTTGTTTATTCTTTTGTTGTTGTTCCTCAAGGGAAGTTGATTTCCTAAAGGAATATGACCAGCTGCAACAAAATACCAGGAAATCACTGACCAAGCAGTGCATATAAAAATTTAAGTGAACAAATTAAAAACAATACTGGCTAATTAAAAAGTACCAATAGGAAGTCCAAACATTTGAAAATTCAATTAAAAAATCTCTGGCACCCTTCTGACATGGATAAAGTTGGCATTTACAGAACAGCAGCTTTCTCACCTGTCTCATTGAGATCCCAGGATCCCACGCTAGAAGGGTTGTTTTTGTACATTGCAATGTTGTTAATTAATACTGAAACACTAACAATAGACTATTGTGTTCATCCAGGCAATTTTTGTGAGCACAGGGTTTTTTCCTGGCTTCCCGCAAATAAATTAAGGCTTAAGCTTGGATTCACTGTCAACCTGGCATTCCAGTTTATATTAAGTTTCTTTTAATTCATACCTTTTGTTTTTTTTCCTCTCGTCATTTTCAGAGCCTACCTCCTCACTTAAAGGCAATGAATATTTCGCAGATGCATGCTGGGCAAGTAAACGCCCTGGAAGTTGAGGTCCAGGAGAGGCATGAGGAGGTATTCATCAAGGACAAGCTGAGAGAAACAGAGGGGCTTGACATCAAGGAAACACTCCAGGATCAGATTAGCCAGTGTTTCATCGAGTGCCGGTGAGCGGACATCAACACTTGCCCATTAATAAGTCCATTTGCCCCAAGGAGTCTAATTGTGCAGTTCTTTCAGATTGCAAAATCCATCTTAAGGTGGTGATCCCAGTCCCAGCTGCAGAGCTAAGTTACTGAGTGGCAGGACTCCTAATTAGGGAAACCAGAATAACACATCACTCCTTGCACAGTCCAGCAGGGATCAGAGGTGTGCCTTGAAAGACTGACTGCAGAATCAGGTCCACAGACCTGTGGGGGCACATTTAGATTGCCTGTTAGCTTGGGCTCCAGCTTTGTAATTATAAGCAGCATACTTAAAGTTTAAGAACACTGACTTTTTTCCCTGTCTGAATACATAAGGTTTAAGAGAGAGAATGCAGTCTTCCATGAGATAGAAGTATAATTATTTGCCATAGCAAATCACATCACGTCACTGGTACTGCAATCCAGCTGCCCGCTGCTGGTATTATCCAGCAGCCGATATGAATCTGAAGTACTTTTGTACTTGAGGCCTGACCTTCAAGACACTCCCCCAAATGTAACTTTACTTAAGTAGTGCTGCTGATCTCAGTGAAACTTCACGTCTCAGTAGAGTTAAGCACATACTTACACGTTTTTAAACTGAGTGCTGACACCTATAGTTCTCTCAGGAAGTTTACTTTAGCTGAAGAAGTTTTGAGACTGGCAATACTATAAAGCCTTGTACTAAGGAGTATAGGCTGGTTTTATTATATAGGTAATTTTTTCCAGGATTTACCACATCCAATGGGTTTGTATGTAAAAGTAAATTGGGAAGCAGCACGCAAAAGTTCCAGGATTTAGCAGGAATGTTTCAGCTGCTCTGCATAAAACTGCTCTGCAAAAACACTTCCAGTGTTACAGGGCTCCCATTTGTCTTGTGGACTAGTGTCATGTCCATTAATCGTTCAGCATTTTTTCAGTGTACCTGACCTGCCTTCAGCATGCAGTTTCCAGTTGGAAACACAAATGCATTCTGATGAAATCCTGCTCTATTTATTCCTTGACTACTTTAATCAGGTTTTGGCAGCTATACAAGAGCATAGTGTTTGTTAAAAAAAAAAAAAGGCAATCAAAAATAGCACTCTCACAGGTCTGCCACAATCTATGTCTCTTCTGTCTTGTACTTTTGCCTCTTTTAGACACTCAAGACTAGCACATTTTTACCCCATCTAGCTCTACTTTAGAAAGAACTGCTGGGTTTACAAACCTCTATTATTACAAAGCACTTCCCTTTTCCTTAAATCAACCCTGTTCCTAGGGTCCACTCTGCACACTTCTTGAGCTGCCATTTCCTGCCACTCCCCACAACTCCCAGCATGTTCTGAGGTACAGAAATATCTTATTTCCTTTGCTTAATATTACTCATCTAATAGTAATTCTCTAACATAGGTCAGTCGTGTCCAATTAACTTGACTCTAGAGCTTGAGGAGAGCTAACTGAAATGCTATGTGAACCAATAACAATGTTTCTATAGGAGATTAGCAGAGAACAGTCAATCTCCCAGAGAATAAGGCTGAGCCATAAACCTCTTTAAAGACAGTTATGAGACATTATTAAAAGTAAAATCCATTCCATGGAGACACTTAACAGCAGAGCTAACCAAGAGCTAACCAATCCAAAGGATCATTTGGAGGAAGCCAAAGCCATCATTCGATCAAGGGAGATGGAGAGGAATGGCTGAATGAGCAGTTCATCAAAACCCTTGCTACCTAATGTATAAGCGACCTCAGTCTCATGTATCTGTGAAATACTCTGAAGATGTAAGGTGGAGTGTAAATGCTGAGCTTTCTTATTCTGGAGCTCTTACAAGTGAAATGGGACCTCACTGCTACATTTATATCCCAGTTGTGCCCAGGGGCCCAACTTTAGGTGAGACTCCAAGGCTATAGGCAGACACAGTCAGTATCCCAGCATATAAATATGTGATTAAACAAGTTAAAAGGAGTTCTTTAGCTAACCTTTAAGTTGTCTGGTCTGGTCTAGTCGGGTTCAATAGTCTTGAATCTCATCTAGACTTGAAAATTAACAAAGATTAAAGCAGATGTTAGAATATAAGCACCATGTTAACTGATCTTGGATAGCTTTATAGGTATGCTTTTCCTGAGCAAGTGATTATATTAAATGGGACTAACATATACCCACACACAGAGTTAGTTAATCAATGACACCACTGCTTATAGACAAGCCTTTAGTCAGACTTGTTCTGCTGCAGCTGAGATGGACTGAGAAAATGGCTTCCCTCCAACCTTGTAGTATAACCAGAGCAAGCTGCTTCTCAACTCACCCCTCTGAAACAATCTGAAACATTAAAAAAAATGAATGAAAAAGCAATTTTAAGCTAAATCAGACCATTTCAAGAGAGAGCAGTTAAAGAAATGTTGCATGTGCAGTTATGTGGCAGAGGGGCAGTGACAGACTTGGTGCAGGCAGAGCAGTGTGTTTGATCATGCTCCCCTTTACTCTTCTTTTAAACTAACTGTCCATTGTGATCTCTAGAAAGCAGTAAGGCATGTTTCAGCCAAGACTAGACAGATCTCATTGATAAAGAAATATTCTGGTGATTTAGCAGTGTGGTAGATAAAATTCTGCCCCCAGTGAAGCCAGTGGGAGACCTGCCATCAGCTTCAGCAAAGGCTGGACATCACCCAATATTTTAGTTCATTTGAATCTGGCTGAGTGATGCAGTGATTTATGGGACTGAGAGGAGTCAGAGTGAGCTGCCTACCATCCTGCTCTTCACAGGAGGCCTCCGTTTAAGTCACCAAAATAATTTTCCCCACAGACATATTCACTTGCATCCAAAATAGGTTTAAAAAAAAAAAAAAAATCAGCAAATTTCTACAGATGGGGATCATGTGTGTCACACAGAGCCAAGCTTTCCATGTGATGCATGCCAGAGACACTGCAGAATGAGCAGGAGTTGTGTCCTGCTCCTGCCTGGCCTGCTGAACAGTAGCCAGATCTAAAGTGTCAAGGCTTACATTAATTATTACCTGCCAGGATATATTTTGGCTCTCCAGTAAGCCAGTCTATGAGATCAACAGCTAAATGTAGCTTACAAATTGCTATTCAGCTAGGCTTTTTGACAGTTTACCATTGTCCATAGTCTATTAAATAAACAGATAGCTAAAGAGGAACAAAGATTCTTTTGAATAAATTTTGCTGTATGTACTAAAAAAAAAATAACCCCAAACTTCCATATTTTATCCTTCAATTGGAAAAGGATATGATGGGAAATACAATTAGCAGGTATTGTCTTTAGCGCAGCTACTATTAGATGACAAAAGCAGTGAGCACGTATTAAGTTTCTCCACTTGCAAGAACTGCTATAAATATTTACCACTTTCTTTCCACAAGGGAACAGGCATAGCTTCGGTCATTTCAAGACCCGAGACAGCTTCTTGTGAAGATAGGTTCTAAAAAAGCAAAATAAAGCAAAACCCAAAGGAATAGATTAAACAAAAATGTTCCAGTTGCTTATAGCAATCCCTCTGCAGAGAAGACAACGTATTTTTGATAAAACACTGTGCATTTCACAGCCTTACCATCCATCGTTCCATTTATCTGTATTGACTTCCATGGAGCTGTTCTTATTTGGCTTGCAAATTATTCACATAAAGCTTTCTAGATTTCTATTTGGCCTTGTCCCTATGCACCACACTAGAAAAGATAGATAATTTTTTTAATGCTTTTTTATGAAAGCATCATGCAGTATACCTTCAGTCCTCCCTTTTTTTCCAAGATACCTATATGATTCGTAGAGCAGGAGTCCAAATGTTCCAAAATTAACAGTTGCTATGATTATATGCATCTGAGTCTGGATTTTAATCACCTGGCTCCCACAGATTCCCTCCATTACATTAATAACGGCATTTCATTTTAAGATACAGCAATTGCATACCTGGGGTTTTCCTTCCAATTTCCTATACTATTCCAGACCAAAACCATTTTTCTCTAATTTTACATTTAGGGTTTTGCACTGCATATGCAAAAACCGTCATCATCATCTTTTCCACTCTTTACCCACTGTACATACCAACAGTTCCCAAATCACAAATCTTCCTTGGAGTCATCCCTAAAATAAATTTTAAAAAGGGGTGGTGAAGAAAAGAGGAGAAGGATTCCCTTGTACAGAGAAATATAGTAGTATCTTTGTCTACAAAGTCTTCTCTGACAGAAATCAATATGAAGGATAAGAAATCAAGATGAGGCTTTTATTACCAGAGATAGCCTCAAGAATCACAGGGGAGAGCCTAATACACAGGCTTTGCTGTAATGTATCTTATGCCCTCTAGCTGTAACAAATTATGCTGTGAATTTCTTGGAGGATTTATATATCACTGCTCAGTGCTCTGGGGAGCATTTCATCAGTGGCATTGCTGACCTAATAACAGGGGATCTAAGTAATAGCAACTTTTATGTACATTATGTGTTATTCCCACAGATTTGGGGATTGGTTTTCTGGAGGAAGGGGGAGGCAAGGGGTAAATGTGCTTTCATAATAGGTTTACACTTTACTGATTAGCTTTGAATGATCTTCTTGCTCTGCCTGCTGACTTGAGTACTGTCAGAAAAAGAATTGGCCAACCTTCGTGGTGAGTGAATGAGACCCCTTCTGAAGTAGGGGGTTCCTGCGCTTTATTTATTCATTTGGAACATTCCTGACAGCCAGCCCAGGCTTTGATGCAGAGGAAAGGAGAAAGAAATAGGAAGTGATCATGTTATATTTCCCTTTTTCACAAGACTGTTTTGTTGAGTCGAGTTCACTGCCAATACGCCTGTTCACGGGGCTCCCTAGGTAGCAGGGGGCGGGGAAGGAGGCGGCAGGAGGAAGATGAATGGAGAGAGAGGTTTTGCACTGAAACTCCACAGAATAAGGAGAGTATTCATTTGTGTCAGGCACTGCCCGTATCACATTTCACACTCTGTACACACTGCTTTTTACGAAGTTAATGTTAACATGCCTGAAAGTTGCCAGGCAATTC